TATTCACAATAAAGATATCATGATACTTTGGTCATTAATCCATTTAGCAGGATATGTAAGCTACTAGACACATTGTACGTAAATGAGAAAATGTTATATTTTTTTCAACATACCATCACGCCCATATCCCAAAGGGTTAAGTAGAGGTACACATTACGGTACTCAATGCCACTGTTACAATTTCCACAACAATAGTGAAAATCTATGAGTCCCATGTAACAGAGGGTGAGCCTACTGCCATATACCAGGCACAATTCATACATTATCATTTCAAGTATATTTTTATTCATTTGCGGAATACAGCCAGCCAGCTTGGTTGGTTTAATTGCATTATTTCGATCTACTTATTATTTAATAGGCTCTCACTGTGAGGCTTCTCATACATTAGCTCTGTGCGTTTGTTTAATTGATTGCCACTGTATGTGTTTGTAAATTATGTATAAAAATTGTTTGAAGCATATTCACATGAAGCCTTGTTATATACTAGAACATAGTCGAGTTACTTATGTAGAATTGGGTATCAAAATTAAAAATCTAATTAGTCCGTCAGTTAGATAATGAAAAAATATTAGACACGTATTTTTTTATTTTCTCGTATTACGTTGCAATATTTACATAAAAAGGCGCTTAGTTTAAGAGTGGGAAGTCGTTACGTCATAACGTGCTACAAAATGTGACACGCTGTGACGTCACACGATATTTCAAATTAGTATATCGTCGAAAGTATTTAATTTTGTGAGAAAAGAAAAAATACATGTCTAAAATACGGGTTTTAAATTAATGTACCATACGGACATTTAAATAAAATTTAGGAAACTACCCTATTTCATTGATACAATTAAAATAATCTTATTATCCTATGATAATAAGATCATTAGATCAGAAGTGTCTATACACAAAACATAATTTTGGACTTTATATAACTTCTTCATTTATAGTACCTACTACCTACCTATTATTTTTTGAGAGAGGCGAGACAATCTGATACTCTCGGAATGGTTTTCAGTCAGTAAAAGTCTGACTCTTAAAACCATTTCGTTCCTACCCCTGCTTCTAGCCGGATCCCCGGTAACCATCCGCAGCTTCGAATCGAACGTCAGCCCTTTCATTTATAGTATGTAGTAGGTATATTACTTTTATTTTATTTATTTTCAGCCATGATCGTCCCACTGCAGGGCAAAGGCCTCGCTACCCTCCTTCCACTCCTCTCTATGTAAAGCTTTTTGCGACCAATTACAACATCACAACATGCGACATCTATGACAAGGTATATTATTAAACATGAATTAATTATGCTATTGAATAATCAATTATTTCATGTATTACACAGTTAATATAGCCTTAATCCAAAATGTTTTTGTTATAATCATTTATTATTAATGAAAATAAACATTTTTCCTTTTCAAAAATGATTAATTCATTTTGTTGACGTGAATGTGTGCGAATTACCCACTTTGGTGAAGTTACAAATCACATGATACATTTTTAGTACCTACATATATTCTAAATCTGTCGTAATGAATATTGTTACATAATTTTATTTAATATCTACGCTTAACAATTTAGTTTACTTTTTTGCACTACATCACCTAAAATTTTCTAACAAGAATGCATTCACGCAATAAACCTAGGCTGGTACATAATTTGTTTTATAAAAAGTTAAATAAGTAACTATACTAAAGTATAATACAACCTATTTATTATTTTTTAGAAAATTCATTAGCTACTTATGTAGCGATGCTACTAGTATACTGATCAAAATAACAAGGTATTAAAATGAAGCAAAGTGAAGATAAGTTTAGCAAAAAAATACTCTATCTAGTCCTGATAACGTGAGTGAATCCATATCGAGGGGTAACGGGCTATTTGGTTTAAGCGACATTTTTGCAACTTTACAGGAGAGCCTTTTAAAGTTTTAAATTTCGAAAAAAAATTCGTAACAAAAACATTTCTGCAGTTATTTGAACGGGGTAAATTGCATTGAAATTTAAATTAAATTATCTAGTTGCTGATGCTAATTCTAAATAAAGCGGACCTTTAATTACAAAGATAAATGTCGCTTAATACAATCTGCCCTTTTTTAGAGTCAGGAAAAACGATTTAAGTGACTTCATAACTACAATTGGCTACAAGGGAAAAAAATTAAGCGACAATGCACTCTATTTATAGAGTCAGCTAAAAAATATGAAGTGACGAAACCCAAAATTAATAGAAGCAAGCTATTTATCTTAACTACCAATTCAGACTAAAATGAGTGTCAGGCTAATTTACTTATGTGACATATATCATTGAAATTATAACGTTTAATGTTTATGTTTATTTCCATCTAAGGCGATTAATGGCTGATAAAACAACCTGGATATATCGCAACCACCGAAAATCTCAGATGCTTACATTGAATAAATAAACACAACACAATATCAAAGTATTTATTTAGAGTAATAACAGTTTCAATAGGAATATCGATTATATTTCAGCAAAATCAATTAAATTAATGGGTCATTTACTGAAATTGCCGTTTTGTATGAAAAAATTTAAACGATTTTTTCATGTATTTTTTATTTGTATAGTCAACGTAATCACCCATGCAATCAATGCATCGTTGCCAACGCAGTGGCAGTTTATTGATGCCCTTCTTCAATCAGCTGGACGGGTAGCAACAAATTCTTCAAATGCATTTTGTACTGCCTCTCGGTTATTAAATTTTTTCCCGCCAAGAAGTTATCCAAATTCTGGAAAAAGAAGTAGTCTGGTGACTGGTGAGTAGGTGGATGTCGGAGAGCTTCACAACCCCAGTTCTTGTAACGTGGAGGCCGTCTCTTGTGCAGCTTTAGGTCGCGCGTTGTAATGCAGGAGCAATGGAGATTAGCGATTGACCAGTGCTGGTTGGAGATGTGTCAGCTTCTCCATCATTGTGTTCAGTTCTTCACACTACACATCCGTAGTAATGCTCACTCCGTTTGGTAAGAATTTGTGATGAATCAGAATAGCGCGAGCGCTAGACCATCAGTGACCATCACTTTTCTAGGGGTAAGTTTTCGTTTAGGGCATTGTTTAGGTGCTGAACTAGGATTCAACCAACATGCTAAACGCGTGTGGTTATCACACAGATTTCATTTTTCATCGGAGGTGACAATGCAAATCAAAATTCTTTCATTTGTGTGTATATTGAGCAGTGCAGTGCAAGGCACTACTCGATGCATTTTTTTTAAGGGTGGAAAATCATCGAATGACTGCTCCCGCCTGGGTGAGGCGGGAAAGAGTGTCAGACTCTTACTGACTAAAAATCACCCCGTTTCTTCTCCTGCACGTCGAGCCGGAGCCCCGGTTACCCGTTAGGTTCTCCGCGACTCCGAATCGGCATCGACCCTGTTGGGCCCCATCTGTGGTGGTCTGATGGCTCTTTGAGGCGCGCGCGGAACGCGACGCGCCGTACGCTCGGGTCTGTTTCTGGTCGGACGGGAGCCACCCATGCTCACCGTCCGCAGGCCCGCGCTTACGGTAACTGGAGATCGTCCCGCGATCCCCGACGCCAGGTGTGTCCTTCGCGATGGCTGGGTTGCGAGGAGCCAGCGCTTCGCTGCCTCACGCGTCCCGCCTCCTCCTTAGCTAGCATAACTGCTTCGCAAAAGGAGGAGACGGCATCCCAGTCCCCCTCGCACTGCTCGATGCATACTTAGCTCTGTTGATCATTTAGTTTGTGGGACACCCACTTATCAAGCTTTTTTACCTTGCCAATTTGACGCAAATGTACCAATATTGTTTTGACGCTAACGTCGAAAGCTGTTGCTAAATCAGCCGTAGATTGTATGTCATCAAAGTCATTGTTGCCAAAGTCTTCGAACGACCGCGAGTTCATCTTGAAATTAAAGTACTTAGGATTCAATTTCGATGAGCGTTTTACGTAAACACTGGCGGTGTGCGCGCGTCCGTCTGTCTTCGGCGCACTCTGGAGTGACTGAAGCGCCAGCGCACGATAGTCCAGTTGGATGATAACGATTTTTAACACCAGGGCGATGAAATAAATATGGTATCATATGACATGATTGAAATGTACCATATTAAAACTTAGTGATTGAAAGACCGACTCGTATTTCTATGAATACTGGAAAAATGTTTCAATATTCATTATCAATGTTATCGTCTGTAAAACGACATGCATTTAAAAAAAAATGAGGGTTAAATGGTTTATGACTAAACAAAATATCTGAACGAAAACAACTATTTGGTTTAAGTAGCACCCTGCGTAGAAAATAGAGGCAGCTAGAAATGTTTAAGAGACGTACCATGACGCATTTGGATGACGGACAAATGTTTTAAGCGACATCACACCGTGTGATTAGTGGGAAGTCAAAATGATTCAAGTTACTTTTTAATAAAAATTAGAATCAAGAAAAACGCTTTAACTCATGTTGACTTAATCATTAGAGATAGGGTGACTGGTTTATGTCTCGGTTATTAATATGATGGTATGGTTCAAGTACATAATTTAATAAAAAATGCGAAATCCATGTCGTTTAATACACTGCCACTTTGGAAACAACATGAAAATAGAATTGTTTGAAACGCCAAAAAAGTGCTCCGATTTTAATGAAACCGGCATCATTCGACGGAGAAAAATTCGCCGATTCCGAATATATATATAACTCAATATCGCCCAAAATGTCGCTTAAACCAAATAGCCCGTTACCCCTCGATATGATGACTCTGTCATGATAACGGACTATCTAATATTAGATCGGGTGAGCGATTGAAAAATAAAACGAAAATATCTTAATAATATGAGACAGTATAAAATTTATTCTTAGTGGGAAAATACGCTAAGGGGGCTGATAGTTACATGAAAATGTTAAACCCTGTCAATCGCAATAGTAATTACTAAAATAATTTCTAAAAGTTCTCCCCTGCTTCTGTCCCAAAATCGAAGCAAAAAAGCTCTCAACTAAAACACTAGCGTAGTACGAATAAGGCATAATATCCAATAGAAAGATTTTACTCACATGAGCGCAAAGCTCTGGTAAGTCCATTGTCAGGCGGTCGAGGGACCCGGGTCTTCTGCCCAAGAAGCTTATGTGCTTGCACCTGGGCTTCTGTGTCGTCCATCTTGGATTGGCTGAGTTACCAAAACGTGTTTGATTTCCTGAAATAGAGGGTGTTTTAATTAAGATGATCGGTTGTTTATATTTGGGGTGATACGATCGTGTGCGGGTTTCTTTTAGCAATCTCTAATTTTGTTCTGGATTATAATTCATTATAAATAATTGTTCATAAATATATACTAGTCGTTGCATGTTATGTTATGTGCACATACTTGTGGAATGGTCTGCCATTTACAGTTTTATATTGTTACTCTGTTGTATATTGTGCTGTGTTTCTGTTTTGTGTACCTATTAAGTAAATAAATAAATAAAAAAGAAAAAAATCTATCAGGGAAAAAATCATAAGAATAGAAGTGCATTGTTTTATGATTGGAGTTTACATAGATAGGTACTTCGTACATAAAACTAAAGACGTGTCAATGACTCAATGACTGGGTCAACATTTTTTTATTTCAGCAATAAAGTCTATAAATACGACTTTAGTTAGGTCCTTGTCCTTGAATAAGATAGTGATACCGCTAGTCCTGCGTCTGACCTCATTGGTCGTGTCCGATTACCAGATGCAAGAATTTAAGCCCCCTTACGCACTAGCGGTCAACCGCGCGGCTAGCCGCTCCCTGCGTTTGTCCGCTTTTACAATTCAATATGCAACCGCTATGGCAACCGCGTCTGTCGATACGAACCGCCTAGGCGGTTAACCGCTAGTGCGTAAGGGGGCTAAGGAATGCAGAAAGTGAATAGGTACATGCATTAAACAACACAAGTACACGTATCTCGAATATATGTTAATATGTAAAATCTAAACAAAATTGTTGAATTTTTCTTTAGTAACGTCATTCTAGTTAGCAAAAAAATACTTACTTCAAAATATTAATATACTCAAACACGGTAAATCGTATAGTATAATGAATCAGTGATTGAAAATCCGTGTAACCCAGACCTTTGACTACGTGGTTCAACATTCGAGGTCACGTCCGATATCAATATAAGACGATAATTACAACGTGTAACGTAACTATATAAGACGCTATTGTTTTTTTTACAACAGATTATAATACGCTGGATAGGTAGTTGTTAAGTGACCTGATTTTTATTAGGATTATATATATTGTATTTGTCCAAAAATGTAGGTTTTTGAGGAAATTGCAGTAATATTTAGATTTTATTTTATCATGTATAACAGTTTAATTTTATTTTATTCATTACGTAAATTGCCTATTTATTCACAGACGTGAAAAAGCAACACTAGCACTATGCGATGATCAATAAATTCTAGACTAAGTTTTTAATAATGAATTTGTTATAAACTTATAGTACCTAATAATAACGTACAATCTTGATTATGTACCTCTAGAGTTCTGTCACAAACACAAGGGCCCGACATACAATATACTGTTTTAGGAACTTGATGAAATTAATTTCCGTTCATCTTACTTGTTCGTACATTCAATGTGCTCATAGTCTTACGAATAATGTCAAAAGCACACGCGCTTTAACTCTATATAAGTATCTTTACTGTATTATATTCTCGTAAATAAGTATTAAAAGTTGATAGAATCGTCCACTTAGAGGCTAAAAATGTGAATAAAAACTCTACATTAATTCAATAATGAAATAATATAATAAAAACGACCATCAGTACCGAACATAAAACAAGGTTAATGAATTCAACTTACAAATTCAAATATCGATCAAAAAATCCAGAATAAAACACACTAACAACACATGCAAATTTAAAAAGAACACTTTATAATCTCGTAATGTTTACAAAAAACACATAAACACACGCGATCTGCACAGCAAACTGGAGTACAGTGACACAAATTAGCGATGTATATCATATAAATATATTGTGCGAGTATTTATCAATTGTGCGCAAGATTAAAGCCTACGGGCCGCGCGGTCGGCGCCGGCGCATAGCGAATATTGTCAACTGTTCAGACTCGCAGGTCTCGCAACCAACACGAGGTGGTTGGCCTTGAATGGAATAAACAATTTTATACACTGGCGATACCTGTTGGGTCAGCGATTTGTTGAACGAAGCGATACCCATCCGACCCACGCTGTTTGAATCGCGAATCCGTTACAATATTTTATCATTGATACGTTTGTAATTACATCATTAGTGTTGTGTATGGTGTGCGTAAGCGCATTATACCTATTTGATAGTAGCTCTCATAATACTTTAATGTTAAGTTTTCCTGTGTAATTATTAAGGGTTCATTAATGCAGCAAATGTCTTGTAATTTTCTGTCATAAATGTTTTTGCTCAACTTACAATATTCTTAAGCAAAATAAAACTACTTTTCACAGATTGATATATTAAATGTGGAACATTCCACAAGATGGCTACAACTTTAAAGGGTATAAAAATATAAGTTATCGCCTTCCCGAAATCGTGTTTATTTCAACGTACAATATATTTGTAGTAATCGTAAAAGATAATAAATATTTATGTCGTGGACTTGACATGTACACGAGATAAAGCGGTAACCAAACTCGTCTGGTTTCCTAATAAAGCTGTGCTACCACGCCAATGCTAGGCAATAAAGTTTTTCTTCATTTTATTTGGATTACAATAACGTGTTTTAGAATACTTATTTAAAGTAAGTATGTAATTCGAAATGTTCCTTAGAAATTCTTAAATGATTTTGGTTTTTTTCACTAGCAAACGCCCATATGATTTTAATTCTCTGTTAATAAAATAGTCAATGATCTTTTTAAGGGAGATAAATATCCGGATTAGTTCAGTCGTTTTCGAGTTCCGCGCTTAGCAACATAGTGTGTAACCATTGGACTCTAGATTTTTTATTTATTTTATTTCTCTACGTTTAACTTATTTTAATATACATAGTTTTGGATTTAAGAGGACGGAGGAGATAAATATATCTTAATTTAATATTAAGTTAAGGTTGGAACGGTCAGTACTAAGTAAGCTAACATATAATTATATTACCTATATAGAATTCTGTATAACTCTACTTTGTGACATAATATTTCGACATTTTTCATTCTCACCCCCTATTACGTGGGAGTCATGATAAAAATAGTGAAAAGAGGGTGTTACATTGTACAATGGCCCTAAGTGCCGTAATGTGTATGATGAATATGTTCTTCAAACTGCTCTCATCGATTGTGAATTATGATATGACGAGTATGAAGTCTTAAGTTTCTATCGTATATAAACATTATTAAGTAGTGTAAAAGTTACGGAGAATCACAAACTGCAAGCCAGCTTAAAATGTTCTTCTACAATCTTAATACAGACGTATATATATCTGAATTGGGATGATGACAGGGTATGAAAATTAAAAATCTAATTAGTCCATAAGTTAGGTAATAAAAAAATATTAGACACGTATTTTTTATTTTGTCGTATAATAAGACAATACTTAGATAAAACGAATTAAAGTTTAGGAGTGGGGACTAAAACGTCATTTCTGCGTATAAAATGTACATAGAAGTGACTTCACGCGACATTTCAAATCAATATATCGTCGAAAGTATTCGTTTCTGTAAGAAAATAATACGTGTCTAATGATTTAAAATAATCTACCAGACGGACATTAAAAATTAGGAATCTACCCTATTCAATGTTTTGTTTTTTATGACTACCACAATAATTGTAAATAATATAGTTTCAGTACATACGTACTTTACAAATTCTAACGAATTTCGACAGTGATGTAATTTCCTTATTGTTTAACAAACCGGTTGAACAAGCATTTAGTCAAGTACCTTCCACTGAACTTGTACAAAAAATGTGGGCTCAGTACGATACCTAAGTATTTGAAGGTCATTATTTTCTCATGAATATTCAAATTTTTATTATCTGTATTGTTTAAAATAAATAGGGCACTGTGTACCTTTGTATCATGTACCTTAAATGTGTGTAATTTACATAATTTATTGTATTTGTTTAGTTTATATATCGTGCAATACAATAATTTGAGAAAACAAAGCTATTTATTAAATTCACTACAAATGGTAGATGGAATGGTAGGTACCGCGAATTACAAACGAGACTATCATTTGGCACAATAATCAAAATAAGTAGGTAAGTACTTTAATATCAAAAAGTACAATACATCGTTAAACATTACTATGACAAAAAAAAATTCAATACTAAAACTGCATCTACTAAAAATGGTTTCACTATATTTTCCATCTCACATCGCCTATCATGTACTGCAACGTAAGCCTGTTCAAGCGGCTATGTAGGTTAACATGCATCGACATTAACCTTATTTTAAACAGTCTATTTGAATCAGAATTGTGAGTCAATGAATCAAATACACCTACAAATAAGAGACACAATATGGATAAACGTACAACTTGAATACAAATAAATCTCGTTTTAAACTGTCAAACACCAAGCGGTCACCGGTGACTGCGACCTATTGTTCTTTAATTGTGTCTATAAAACCGGTACTCGACGAGTTAATTAATATGACCTTCAAAAATGTGCGTATAGAATACGGTAAATGCGTAATTTTTATTGTAATGTCCGTCTGGTAGATTATTTTAAATCATTAGACACGTATTTTTTATTTTCTTACAGAAACTAATACTTTCGACAATATATCGATTTGAAATGTCGCGTGACGTTACTTTTATGTGCATAAATTTTACGTAGAAATGACGTTTTAGCCCCCACTCCTAAACTTTGATTCGTTTTATCTAAGTATTGTTTTATTATACGACAAAATAAAAAAATACGTGTCTCATTTTTTTTCGTTACCTAACTAATTATATTTTTAATTTTCATACCCTGTCATCATCCCAAATTTTAGAATCATATACCTACGTTAAGAAAGGGTAAAGGCAACTATAATGGACTGCAGTGTGATTTAAGTTTAGATGTTTTTTTTTCTATAAATGGTTTGTTTTCTATTTTTTTTTCAGTGGCTAAACTAACGGCTATGCTGGGATACAAGATAATATGTCTTGAATGGTCATGACTTAACCTATGAATTTAAGTTTTCTGGGTTATAATCTCGTTCA